TATTTTTTTCTTGGATTTTGAAAGTATTATCTTAAAATACCATTCTCAAAGCCTGAGAATGGTATTTGTTTCTCTTAGCATAACAAATATGCTAAGAGAAATCTAGCATAGCTTTCTAGAATGAATGGGCCAATCAATCAATCTACCAAACTATCTGGGTAGGGAGGCAGAGAAATTCAAGATCAGCTAAAATGGCAGATCTGATGAACCATTTTTCATGCGGTTGTGATGCAAGCCCTAGAAAGACTTTCCTCTCATGTTCTTCTATTTTCCTCCTCTCACTCTCTCTTTCCTTCCCTTTCTTTTCTATCACTGATACCACCCACCCCAACCTCAATGTCTCTCATGACAGCATTTTCACAGGTTGTATGAATCCCATGAACTGAACATAGAACAACTTTCAAACTTAGTATAGATTGATATATATAAGGTTAGCACAAAGAGGTATGCTCTTTAAATGAGTGTCCCTTTTAAATGAAAAGATCAAACTTCATTTAAAAATAAACTCACTTTTGATTCATGTACAAGGAAAATGCCACCGAATCAGCTAGCTCTGTCACTGAGAACATTTCAATCAACAGAGTTAGGGGTCCAGATGAGCTGAATGCAGAGAACTCCACAAGGTGATTCCACCTCCTAACCACACTGCCTCACTTATTTGCAAGAAAGCAAAGAGTGGAATAGCTAGTTGGAATGAATAAGCCTATTTTTGTTTAGAGAATCCTGGCTCAGCAATAGTTTGTCTTATCTAAGTATCTTCTCTTGGCACCTCTTTAAGGTTGAAAATATCAGTTCCACCCTAGGGAATACATTTTAATTGCATCTGCAAGAAGAGAAAATAACATCGTTACTAGATGTGAATTCTCAGAGGTTTGATGGGCTTCACCCAGGGTTTTATAGCTGTTTAGAGCTGAGGATGACATGGAAATGCTCTTGGCATAAACATGTCCACTGTAGGGTTACTTACAACAACAAAAACTGGGAATGAACAAACTGTCCAGTTATGAGAGGAATGGCTAATTAGACTATGATAATCATCCTTAAGCAGCCACAAAAAGTAGTTTATAAATGCATTTTCATAAAATGGAAAAACACCGATGAAATGCTGATTAAAAAGGCAGTATTAAAAATTGCATATAAGCTCTCTGACCCTGTCTTTCACTGGGAAGGTACCCTAACAGCAAACCATCAGGCCAGTCATCTAAACCACATTATCTAAGAGAGCTTTATCGGTGGTAAAGCTGAGGCTCCAATTTCTATTAAAAAAAAATTTTGCATTCATAGTATGACCTTAACCGTGTCTAAATAATATCAAAAAAATTCCATATGAAAAGGAATCAATAAGTATTTTCCAAACCTCCGTGAACACATTAATTTTATTTTTAAAATAAATATACAAATAAGAAATATGTAATTTTAAAAGGCAATGCAGGAATTTGCCCTTATTATAGTATTCCCTGAGACAAATCATATATTGTAAATTGTACATCTACATCTAGAAAAGCAAATTGATTTCATCTGGTGAGTCAATTACAATCGAATAGTAGCATCCGTGTGAGGATGTTGAGCTCTAATCTAAGATTAGTAAAAAAGAGAGACAATTTCTTAGTAATGTTTGCTATTGGTATATGTATGAATATTATATATGTTATGATCTTGCTGAAAATGTTCTACCACAGAGTTGACATAAAAGGAAAAAAAAGTGGGGGAGTATAGATGGCAGACTAATGACCCTCAACCTTGCATGGCAAAAAGAAATTAAGACTGCAGGCAGTATTCAGGCTACTAATTATCTGAGCTTAAGATAAGGACATTCATTATTGTGGGTTATCTCAGTGGGTTCAACATAACCACCAGGGTCCTTAAAAGTGGAAGAGGAGGCAGAAGCGGAGAGTCAGAGGAGACATGGTGACAGATGCCATGCTGCTAGCTTTGAAGATGAAGGGAGTGGCCATTAGCCAAGGAATGCAGGTGGCCTCTAGAAGCCAGAAAAGGCAAGGAAGTGAAACCTCCAAAAAAATGCAGCCCTGCCAACACCTTGATTTTATCTTAGTGAGATGTGTAATGGACTTCCAAACTACAGAAATGTAAGATAATCAATCTGAGCTGATAATCAGTCTAAGCCACGAAATTGGTGGTAATCTGTTACAGCAGTAATAGGAAATTAACATGGAAAGTAGAAGGGAAGACGACAGGAAGAGAGCGATTACCACTATTTGGATGAGTGATTCATATGAAGCAATTTCATTTTGCTTTGTCAGTCCCAATTAATTGAGAAACACTACCTAAATTGATATGCATCTGATGAGCACCCTAACTTGTGGGATGAGAGAAACTAAGGCTGGATTTACTGTTTCTCGCTCAGGTCTGAGTCTCATTCCCATCTCTAGTACTATTCAATAGGGAGGAAAGCAAAATCTACAGGCAGCCCAAAGGCAACCAGCCATGACCCCAGATCCAACTCAGTGCAGGTCCTGAGGCCCAGCACTGAATACCAGCTGTGTAATGGCAGAAGTTAATAATACATATGTGAGTGATTCCTTAACTGAAACCATCCCCAAATCCATTTCCTCTGCACATAAACCAGATAGTTCATAATTTGAAAAACAAAACGACAACAATAAAAACCACTAAGGATTTCAGGGCAAAAAGGCTGTTCCAGCTATGTCTGGTTAGAGAAGGAAAATGTTTCACAGTGAAAACCAAGGAATGATTGCAAAGTCTAGTACCAATGCTGCAAAAGCCAGGAAATAATTAGCCTCACTGGGTCTAATTTCCTCACCTATCAAGTGAAATTTGCCTTAGCTCTCTATTCTCTAGCTCAATTGCACTAGCTCCCCAAAGAAGGACACCTATAGGCTGTGAAATGTGAAATAAGCTTTTCACTTTAAATATGTACACAAATATGCATAACACTAAAGACCCTTCTTGACTCAGTCACTGCCACAATCCTACCAGGTGACATGTAAGTCCTACCTAAGAATCACATGGTCAGTACAGGTGATTTTAAAAAGCAGCTACATAAGCAACAGCTTCCAACATCCTTAGTCTCTCCAATTTCTCCCTTTCTGCCCCCAACAAGTAGCTGAGAACATGCAGTGAAAAAAGCACAGGATTAGTAGTGAGAGGATGAAGTCCACACTGTAGCTTCTTCTCTTCCTGGATAGTGAAAGCATACAAGCAGATTCCCTCTGAGCCACTCAGTCTTCAACTACTAGAGGAGGAACCATGGAAATTCACCTCCTACCAGGCTGTTCTGATCATAAAATGAGCTTGCCAGTGGGGATGGTCCTTGTCACCTCAGAAATGCTGAATGCAGGTGAGTCAATATCATCAGGGTGACTGAAGTCAACGGATATGGGCATGGCAGAAAAGACTGACAGGTGATCAGTTAGCTTCTCTGAGGTTTAGGATCTTCGTATTTCAAAGACAGAAGATAATATACACCATGAAGGAGATTCTGTATGATGAACATGAAGTCCATGGTGCAGTGCCTACACGCAATAGACATTCAATAAACGCAAGCGAGTGTGCTGGTGTAGGGTCCCCCAGCTCCCTAGTGCTTTCTTTCTGTGCCCTGACCAAAAATGAGGGTGCACTGACTGCTCCGTGACCCAGTCATCTGCAGGATTTCCCAGGAGGCTCGTATCAGAACCGAAGCCTCAAACATTCTCAGACACGAATAAAAGTATCTAGGTTGTTCATGGGGAAACCCCATCTCTGCTAAAAATACAAAAATTAGCTGGGCGTGGTAGCAGGCACCTGTAGTCCCAGCTACTTGGGACACTGGAGCGGGGAGATCGCTTGAACCTGGGAAACGGAGGTTGCAGTGAGCCAAGATCACGTCACTGCACTCCAGCCTGGGTGACAGAGGGGTGAGACTCCTTCTCAAAAAAAAAAAAGAGTATCTATCTTTGGCAAGTTGCCAAAGACACCACTGAAAGAAAATAGCCTTGACCCTGAGCCAAATTCCTTTAACCTTCATAAAACCCCATGCCCTGACCACCTCGCTGTGGACATCCCCAAGTGGAACACTCCACACTCCTGTCCCCTTGCTGCCTGTGGCAAGGACTTAATAATTGCTTTAAACGTATCACCCCAGCATTTAGTGCTTCTTTCTTTGGAATCCCAACAGGCCTTATATCAGGATGGTTTGGGGTACTGCCTGGTGAGAACTCCACTGCCACCACTTTTGGGGTGATTCTAGCTGCAAGTCCAGTGGTACCGAACAGATGGCCTGTAGTCCCTCCCACATTCTATGATGCTCTCAGCTGTAACAGTAGAAACAATTGCAAAAACCACTGGAGAGCAACAAGTTTACGAATCTTGATGATCCCTTTCCATGTGTATCTGCCAACCACAGCAATCATTTTAAGGGTCCAGTTGCCCCAAGTGCTAAGCAGAACTTTTTACTGAACGAATTACTGAACCCTAGTTATTGTTGTCAATAATGGCATCATAAGCTGTGGCTAAGCAAACATTACCACCTACACTAAAGAAACACCAATTAGAGGCATTCAAAGGATATGGAGGGCCACCATCTCCTGAGCCCCTGTGACATGGTGGGCACTGCGGTGGACACTCCTGTACACAATCTCCAGTTCTTACAACTGCCTGCTGGGTGGGCTTCAACACACCTGCTTCATCAGGTGACTCACCTGTGGCAATCCCGGGTCTGAAAACAAAACTAAATGGCCCTAAAGCCTGCAGGCCTCCCTCCAAATCACTCCAGTGCTTTTATCCAAAGACTGTACCTTTTCTTCTGTCTGCATCCTCTTACACACCTTCAGCTTGGTTTCCAAATTACAGAGAAATGCTATGCTTCTAGAAAGAGAGAGCACAATCTGCACTATGCCTCAGACTCCATGTATACCAGCAAAGGGGGCCCCAAACCAAAGGTAATACCAACAAGTAATAAAAGGATGCTCTCTCTATCTGCACTTTGAAAAGCGATGCCTCTTCTGCCTGAACATCTGCCTCCTCCTCCAGAGCGCTCTTACCTTGAAGGAGACATGCTGCTCCATGTGCCGCAGCAGCTGGGGCTTCTGGGCTGCTGTGTAGTCACACACCGTGCACTTAAACTGCTTCCCTGGAAAGAAGCAGAGGACAAGGTGAGCATCACCAGGCCAACAGCTCCCACTGTGAATGAACTGCCAGGCATGGAGCCAGGTACACAAAGGTGTTCCTTGTGAGGATCAGAATCTCAGAAGGGAACAGCGAGGAAGCGCACAGGCACTATGCAGCATGCTCAGTCTTCAACAAGTGGGAGTGGAGAGGAGCTCCCATGGAGGGAGAGGCACGGCCAGCTCAACCCGGGGTGGCCCCGTGAGCAATGACACTCAGTCAGGCCTCTAAAGGAAGAGTAAGGCTGTGCCCAGCTGCCGAGAGAGAAGGGCATTGAGGGAGAGGGGTGCACATGGATGAGATTACAGGGGAAGGGACCACAAGGTGGTCAGGAAAGTGGAGCAGCTGCATCTTCCTTCCCGGAGTGCGAAGTCTGCAGAAAGGCAACAGCTGAACTGGAGAGGTTGCTGGCCCAGAATATCAAGGGCCTGGACCATTTCACGGGACCTCAGACCTGACCCTGAAAGTCAGGCAAGTCTGCAGGACGATGGTTAGCAAAGTACAGGATCTGTGCTGCAGAACTCCTAATTCGGGTTGGAGTGCAAAAGGCATTTTTGAAGGAATGCTAGAAAGAAAACTAGGGACATGTAAACCACTGCTTTTAAAAAGGCTAAGGTTTTGGCAATATTTAAACATTCAATAATGGGGTATGTTAAAACAGATTAATAGATATACGAGGTACATTACATTTTGCCTCTTACTAGCATAAATAAAACCTCAATGTGCAATAACATAAACATGTGTAACAAAAGTAAATGTGACCTACTTCTTGTAGCAGTAAAGAATTCAACAAGCAGCTTTTAATGGTGCAAACCACCTCAGGGCATTACACCCACAGCCAGTGTGGCTGGATTCCCAGAAGCAAGCTCCTCCCAGACCCTGTTGCAACTTTCCCCCTCCCCTCTATTCACCATCAGCTCACCTGGAAACCTGTTCTCACTATGATGCCAAGTCAATGGCGAATTTTGGTCTGTATGTGACTTGATCACTCTACTGCATGTGACTCTGCTAACAGTCCATGGTTTGGAAATCTTCTGTTCCTCTGACTCCATGCCACTACCACCTCTTTGGGTCTCTCTATTCATTCTGAGTACCCCTGAGGCACACCCTCTCAACAGGGCAACTATCATCAGGCCATGATGTTCTAGTGTTCCAGCCCACACTCCTATTCTACCTCTACAAGCAACCTTGTATATAACTCACCCCTACAGGCTTTTGTAAACCTTTGATGCCAAAACTAACATCCTCTACTCTGATCTCTTCTCTGAATCTAAGACTTGAGTATACAACTGGACACCAGCCACTTAGTGGTCCCAAATGTCTTAAGTTGAACTCATCTTCTTCACCTAACAGCTTCTACCTCCAGCCCTCCCAGTTTATCACCCATCTGATCACCTACATCAGACACCCAGTAGCCTTCCTCAACATCCTTAAGGCCCTAACTTTCACTCATCTCATTTTTTTTTTCAGCATCTGATTTCATTTCCTATATATTTCTCATATCTGTCTATTTCTCTCTATTTCTAATACCTCCACACTGGTTTAGGTTCTCCTCATTTCCTTCTTGGACAACAGCAGGCTGGGCATAGTGGCTGACGCCTGTAATCCAAGCACTCTGGAGGTCAAGGCAGGTGGATCACCTGAGGTCGGGAGTTCAAGACAACAGCAAAAGCCCCTAAACTGGTCTCCTTGCCTTCATAAAACTCTACCATCTATCCAACCATCCACCCATCCATCCATCCCTCCACCCCTCCATTATCCACACATGCATCCTGATGCCTCATCTTCTATCCAGATGATCTATAGCATAAACCATCCCACGGTCCAGCCATCATAACCCACCGATGACCCCAACTTCAAAACAAAGTTCATGTGCCAGAGCTTAGCAGAAAAGGCCCTCCAGAATCAGAACCAACTCTCCCCACCCCACCCCACCCCTCTGACTTCCTCTTGTGCCTGTCCCCTCTGGATTTAGGCTCATAACACTGAACTCCTTGAGTTCTGCAAACTTTCTGCCTTGCCTCTGCAATCTCAGACCCCTGAGCCTTTGCTAACATTTTCCACGCCTAGAATGCACTGTCTGGCAGCATCTGGCCATTCTTCCTGTTAATTCAGGACTCAAACTGAATGCTCTGGTAACTGGGCCAAGCCAGCCCTCCACAGGTCCCTATACACTATCCACTTGCTTCAGTCTACGCACCACCTCTACAGCCTTGTATAAGGCAGGGGCTGCCTTCAGCTGAACATGGGCAGGGACACATTCCACTCATGTGGGTACCCCAGGGCATGAATGCACATACAGACTGAATATATTCCATGCATTTCATTAAACTGAACTGAGCAAAAATTCTGTACATCTTATATGAACAACACTCTCAATAAGAGCAGCAAAAGGAAGTAAACATTAATGTAACAGTTGTATCGATTATTCTAGTAACTAAACCCAAAATTCTAAATTGCATTAATTCTACAAGCCTGAAGTGTGAGGAAAACTTTTCACTTGTAAGGCACATAAGTTATAATTAGAGAGAAATTACAACTTTAAAAAATATATAGCAACATCTTCTTTCAAACACAGGACTGCAAATTTCTACACATCTCCAGTCAAAGCTCAGCTAAACACACATCTCCACTGACACATGGCTCATGTGTACATAGCATCATCATATTGGGCAGCCTGGGCAAAATCATGCTGTGTTCTTCACCACTAGAGTGGGGAAAGTAGAGCTGATGGAACCATTCTCTGAGTTGATAAATATTCTGTCATTCATTATCAAACACTTGGGTCAAAGAGTAATAGATTAAGTGGTAAAAAGGGCCCTGAAATGAATAAATGGAATTGCCTCGTTTGAAATCAAGCATCAGCCTTTTATGGATATACTTCCAAGGCTCTGCAAGAGACAAGGAAAGAAAGCAGCACCTAAAAGCCATCCCTTACTGAGGCATCAGAGCCCTGGCAATAAATATTACAGATGTTTTCAGCAACCACTGACAGCCCCTATCAAACAGGCCCGGGAGAGTACCTGACACAATTTTTTGCTGCCTAATTAAAATAATGGGATGCAGATTCATGACTAATCATAAAAGAGCAATACTTTGAGACCATGAGATGGCTTTCTATCAAGAGACATCTGAGACTTACAGGCCGAGTCAACTGCAAATCCTAGTATTTTCTCGAGGTGAGATTGACCTCAGAGTGCTGGGAGATGCACATCGAATGGCTGGACGTGGATGAGAATCACCCAGCATCCCAGAGGAAGAAAAGAATGATTACAAAGAAAAGAGGCTGACTGTTCTTTCCCTAAAATATACCTGGCTGGGTCTACCCACTGGACTACCAGGCATCACAAGTTGTGCTGGGGCATGATGTGTACAATCTCACCACGCACCAAAAGCCCAGGAAGTCACCCTTTCATGGATGAGGACCTGGGATCGAGACTCTAGGTAACTTGCCAGGTCATGAAGTGGTAAGTGGCAGAGCCCAGATTTGGCCTCCAGACTATTGACCCCAACACCCCCATTCACAGCTCCATAGGAATCTTTTCAGCCAATAAGGGTGTGATACAATTCCCAAATGGAAGGAGGAATTTATACCAGCAATGGCCTATTTGTGCCACTAACACATAAGGTGACTACTCATCAGAAAGGACTGCCCAAGAAGGGCCAGTTGCAAGGGAACTATGTTCTCTTTCTGGCCCTGTCCTTCTCACCATGAGAGACCCTGGGTCTTTCGTCTATGCTACTCAGAGGCCCCATTGGAAAAATGGGGAGGTAATCCCTCTCTGCTGTGAGGATGGACTCAGGGACTGGGCCTGCAAGCATCTGAAAAGCAGCCCCTGAAGGATGAGGCTGGGGTGCCAACAGGTAACCCCACGGTGGACCCTTCAGCTGACTACAGTGCCCTCCAAACCTTTACCTCCCTGACACTCCCTGAGACAAACCAAATATTCAGTTCTAATTAAGCCAGCCTCAAACAATAAGCATAAAAACAGAACAAAGGAAAAGGGTTGTACAATAATAGCAAAGTGAAAGTAAGCAGTTACAACAGCAGAGTTTGCAGAAAACTCCTGCTTCTATTCCCAGCACCCTATCTGGCCTCATCTCCCCCCAGAGCAAAAGCCAGGAGCTCTGCAGCAGCCACAGGGCACAATGGGGCATGGCTCCCTGTCACCTCTCTGAGCTCATGCACTACCCTCTCCTCTCTCCACCCCACAGACACGGTTCACCCACCCACCTCCAGGCCTCTGCACCTGCTGTCCCAGAGCCTGGGGTGCCCATGTCAGATATGCTGTGCTGTGCCATCTCATCTCCTTCAAGTCTCTGTTCAAATGTCACCTTCACACCGAGTCCTTTCAGACCATTCTGTTTAAAATCCCAGTCCACATGCCCCTTTACTGATTCATTTTTAGCATTTCTCAGCTTCTATTTTCATACTGAAATGGAATCCTTTCATATTCATATTTTTCTTTTCATCTCTCAGTTTTCTTAATATTTTAGATATCTTCAATATTTCCAATTGTAATATATCTCATACTTCATTGATTTATAGTGCTGATTATCCATCTCACTCACCAGAATTTTCGCCTCAGGACAGCGGTGATCTTGGGTTTGGGCTTTGGCTGTGATCACTGAAGCAGCGCACTGATTGACCTTTGGTTGGTCCGTCTGGTACCCTTGCAGGTTGTGGGTGCTCTGAGACAATATGTGCAGTTTCCATGCCACGTCCTCAGTGCTTGGAGGTGAGAGCATGCTGGAGGTAAAGCTAGCAGCTAATTTACAGGAGCACCCCATTCTGAAGTCTGTTTAGCCACCCTTTCTCCCCTCCCCACAATCAACACTGTCACAGAGGGCATCACAAGCACCAGCGATATGTGGTCCTACCCACCATCTCCCCACTCAAAGTCACAGGAGATTGGATCACAGTGGACAAGAGAACCTAGCTGAGCCAGGAATCTAAACTGTCCA